CATTTCATGTTATAAATCAACGTTGATCTGCTAGCTTCTGTTCTGTTATTTCTGATTCTGGAGGTTGTTCTTTCCAGAACTGGTACATTCTTTTCAGATATCCTCTTCTTGTTGGACTTGATTTGTAATAGGAAATCATTCTTTCTTTGTTTTCAGTCTTTGTATATTTGTGACTGGTAAACAACTTTTCTTCCAGTAGCCCTGCAGCTGCTGGCCCTGGTTGGTCAGCCAACAGTCCTAAGTCTTGTAGCCCACTTGTCACCAGATGTCCAGGAACTAGAACACCTAGCGTGGTCCTTGTTGACGTGGGTGATGACTGATCCCGTATGGGTTTCTGTAAATTATGTCTCACCATATTGTTTATGGGAGAGACACTCTTTATCTGGCTCCTCTGATGAGACCTGTCCAGTATGGTTGAACCTCTGGCATAGCTCTCATCCTCCTTGGGGCACCCAAGCCCCACAACCACATCAAGGTAGTGCCTCACTGGGGGGCTGCGATGATGATGATGATGATGCACAGTTGCACTTTTTCTTCCAAAATCTAAGTGTCTTAGATAGTCTTGCTGTGTGATACGTTGTATATAAGGGAACCATTCCTGCTTGAATTTAGTTAGGCTTCTGCTGTGAATATATACTGTCAATTTTCCATTGCTGCATATTCTCCAGTTTTAGTCTCCCAATCCTGTCTGGTCAGCAAGATTTCTCTTTTCCAGTGCTGTGCCATGGATCTTGCCACTGTCAGCATATATCTTCATAAATTGTGATGCTTTTCTTTTACCTTCCCTGGGATCATGCCTAATAAAAATATTTGTGGTTTTAATTTGAATTTTATTTTCAGAATATTCTGGATGTTTTGGTGTATTTCTTTCCTGTACTGTTGAGTTTGTTTGTTTGTTTGTTTGCATAATCACCACATATGCTAAAATGTTCCTTCTTTGATGTGGCAGCATTTCCAACATGTATTGTTGTATGATTTGTCCATCTTGGTAATTGTCTAATTTTCCCTCAGATTGTAGCTTGGTATAAATTGTATTGATTTTTTCCATAGGTCTTCTCATTGCTTCATTATTATTGCTTCTTTGAAGTTTTGCATCCATTTTATCATACAGTTTTTTTTTATTTGTTCTGTGTCTATAATATTTAAGTAGCAATTTGTAAACGCATCCTAATAAATTATCTTGATTCGGTTTCAATATTTCAAATTCTGTCATATCTCTCAGGGTCCCTCCTTCTTCTAAGATTGATTTTTTATTTTCCCAGTTATTTGCAAATACGTTAACCATGGTATTAACTATTTCTTCCTTTAAAGTTGATATTGATGACACTTATAGCTCATGTATGGTTTAAAGAATTGGAACATCAAATAATGGAACATCAATAGTTACAGGTCTTTCAAAATGTCAAATTTGTTTTTAATTGAAGAATAAAATTGATTCATCAAAAGATTTTGTTTTGAGCATATTGGACACCCAAAAGAATAGATTTGAAAGGATAAGCATCAG